TATATATATATATATATATAAAAGATAAGCTTCTTCAGGAGGCTTATTTCTAATAGAATACTAAATAGATAAATGTATTTATGACGGAGTCTCATATGGATAAACTTCTTCAGAAAGCTTATTTACAATGGAGTACTAAATGAACATCCATAATATAATATATATACATCCCAATTTATTTGAAATTGATGCTGGTGGGGGGACTTTTTTTTTTTTCCACTTAAAAATATATATATATTTCTCGCAACTTCCTAAGGCAAAAAACAATTACCCCATTTTCAAGAACCAGCTGCAGACCAAGTTTGAAAGGAAAAAAACCTCAGAAAATGGAAGGATTCAAAGTAGATAAATGGGGTTATGAAGTAAAGACCAATTCTGATTCTTGCATCTCTTCCATTAATTCTTATTATCATCAGGTACATACCCTTTTCATATCTCCTTAATATTTATCAGTTTCATTAAAAAAGATTAGATGTTTTTGTTGATATTGAGTAAGTGTGAAATTTACAAATTCTAACTGTATTTGAACTTTGATGTTTTGAGCTCAGGTACTTAGTTATGGAAGAGAGAGGTCAGTGATATTAGAAGCGCCAAAACAAGACCCAACTTGTGTTTTGGCTAATATTTTAGCTGCTCATTATCTTTCCTCTGCTGATTCTTCACGTGCTTTGCCTCTTCTTCAAGCTGCCAAGTCTTATCTTGTACAGTTTTATTATCTTTTGTTTTTGGCATATTTTGGTTATTTTCATTTTGTCTTTTTATATTTTGGGAGTTAGTTTTACTTATGTGTTTGTTAATGTTTTTGTTCAGGAACAAGCTAGCTTGTATGAGAAAGTGGTTTTTGATGTAATCAATTGTTTGATTTCTCCAAGTAGAGATGATGATGTGGCTGTTGAACTACACTTTAAGGTTGTTTTTTTTTTCTTCCTTTTTTTCTTTTTTGCTGCTTGTTTGAAATGTTCTTCTTTTTTCATAGATTTGATACTTTTAAGTTTTATTCACTTCTGCTGATATTTATTTATGGGGTCTTATCAGCTTTTGATTATCGATAGTTGTAATAGTTACAATTTGCTAGTATGTTCAATAAAACATAGTGTGTCAAATTATTCTATCCATTCTTTATTTTCTTTTGACAATTCTTTTCATTATGTAAGTCCTAATTCAATTTAATCTTGAAAAGTTATGCTCTGTTGAATTCACATTCGATCTTCACTGAGCCTGAAAATAACATGTCATATCTGATTTGGTTGGTCTGTGGTGTAATTAGCGGAAATATTACTTAAAACCATAAGGATGCAATAAGATGGACTAGTACAAAAAGCAGACATGGATGAATAATAGATGGTGTCATCATTTATGAGTTTGCATTTATGATCTTTGGCAAAATCTTTCGATTGATAATGATAATTCATTACTATTTGCAGCTGCTTAAGGATTTCCCAAGAGATCTGGTCTCTCTTAAAAGGGCTCAAGTGCTTTGTTTCTACATGGGTCGCCCTGATTTGTCTCTGAAACTTGTTGAGCAGGTTCATTATTGAATATCGCCTTGACTTCTTCCTTAATTTCCTAGGCAATGTAAAAGAAATAAATAACTTGTGCCTGACATAATATCCAGAGATTTAATAGGAGTGACTACTGTAGTCATTTTCTTATAAATGAATTCAGGTTTCTTGAATTTGNCAAGTGCTTTGTTTCTACATGGGTTGCCCTGATTTGTCTCTGAAACTTGTTGAGCAGGTTCATAATTGAATATCGCCTTGATGTCTTCCTTAATTTCCTAGGCAATATAAAAGAAATAAATAACTTGTGCCTGACATAATATCCAGAGATTTAATAGGAGTGACTATTGTAGTCATTTCCATATAAATGAATTCAGGTTTCTTGAATTTTGTCTACAGGTCCTATCAGTAAATAAACAAGAAAGTTACATTTATGGCATGCTCGCTTTTTCCCTATTAGAACTTGGTCGATACACAGATGCAGAAGAAGCTGCAAACAAAGGCTTTGAGATTGATAGTGAAGATGCCTGGACACACCATGCTGTAAGATACTCGTCCTTTCTAGCTGATATCTGCTAGTGAAACTGCTAATATTAGTTGGATTGGCTAAAGAAATCGTCTAAATACATGCAAATATATTGGCGTCTGGAGGAAATTCATTTATTCATTCACTGCTATCCTAGTATAAATTTTTTTGCGTATCTCATGACAATCTCCTTGCAGCTCTGTCATGTTTATCAGTACAAGTGTCGTTTTAAAGAAGCTGTACAATTTATGGAGAAGTGCTCAAGAACCTGGAGTTCTTTGTCATCTTTTATGTATGCACAGAATCCGATACTAGTTCAGCTTTATGTTATAATTTTTAAAAGCTAACCACTAGGATATTTGCAGGTATACACACAATTGGTGGCACGTCGCGCTTTGTTATTTGGAAGGTCATTCTCCCATGGAAAAAGTAAGAGACATGTATGACCAGAACATCTGGAAAGAGTTGGAAAGAAGCGATGCCTCTCCAGCCGAAGTAAGTTAGTGGTTTCTAGTCAAACAACATCTTTCAATAATACTTGATGAGAGTTAACAGTGTTCTTGGAAACATGCAGGTGTACTTGAATGCTGTTGGTTTGTTACTCCGGGTATATGTACGAGGTGGGATTAATGTCTTTGGGGATCGTTTGAAGATCCTAGCTGATTGTCTGACAAATAAAGTGAGTTCAGGTGCAGAAGCGTGTTAATTTCTCTTTTTAGGTTATACCATAATTGCATGTGTATGCACTTTAGTTGGAGTTATGTAGGTCTTTCCTATATTAGAAGTGGAAAATCAGCTAAACAAGCTAGCACCTTTAACTAGTCAAAGACTTTATGAAGAAATGTAGGAACAAATTTCATATATTTATGCTTTTCTGCAATGACCTTTAATGTTTAAGTTACGCATCACTACATGCTTTTGAACAATCCCTCTCTTACCCCCTTACCAAATATAAAATTAAGGAAGAAAAACTTCAATATTAGGCTTTCTGGTATCTTGAATGGCACCTGGATGTATTGGTGGTATGGGCCCTATCTTGTACAGGCGAAGTTTCTAAGGCAGAAGAGTTACTCGAGGGTTTGAAATCCAGGTCAGAATGAATTTAGCCATTCTTTTCATTCATAGACCAGGCTGTCCAACCACTTACTTTGAAAGTTTGTTCTTTTTCCCTGTAGAATTTCCAAAATGACCAAGAAAAAACGACAACATATGCAGCGAGCAATGCTGGTTTGTCCCTTTCTTTTTTCTTTTTCTTTTTTGTATTTACCAACTTCTGTATAGTTTTTTGGAGAAAATATACTCATACCTTGCAGTTTCTTTTCTCTTTCAATAGCATAGACTTTTCATTTTCAGAAGGTTTTTCCAATTGATTTTAGTACTGGTTTTATGACTCGGCCTTTTAAAATGACTCGGTCTATCACAAGTTTGAAATATTGATGCATCTATTAGTTGCTTGATTGATATATGATAGATAGAAACTGTTTCATTCACTTTAATTTTTAATTCTTTCCTTATATATTATTTTAGCTTGCAGAAGCTCTATTCGAATATGGCAAGGGTGAAAATGAACGGGCGTTGGAATTTCTTGACGAGACATTTGATGCTATTAACTACAAGGTAGTTTGGAGCTTGG